CTGGCAACAGACACAAGCAGATCCTACCAGACTGACTGGTGTGGCTGAGAAATGGAACAGGGTCAGGTGTGTGTGTGTGTGGTGTGTGTGTGTGTGTGTGTGTGTGTGTGTGTGTGTGTGTGTGTGTGTGGTGTGTGTGTGGTGTGTGGTGTGTAGGAGTAGGCAAGTGGTCCTTATCGGAGGCTTCAGAGGATGAGGCTGGGGGGCAGGAACCTGAACTTGGGAGACAAGCAAAGGCTCGGCGGTACAATGGGCCTTAACAGGGTCTTAGTGGGATCAGGGTGAGGGCAGCCCCAGCTTTGTCACCCCTAAAAGTAAAAGGGACTCCGTGGTACAGGACAGGGGTCCACTCTCCCCTGCTCTAGTCAGTCCATGAGCATCCTGTTGTTCCTGTGAGGTCCCAGTGTCAGCCTTAATGGCTGCTTGGAGTCACCAGTCCAAATTGGGGAATCTGAGTGTGGCTCAGGCTCAGGGCTGGGGATGTCAATCTGGTGGGCTACAAACCCACAAACACCAAATATCTACCTCCTTACCTTTATTCTCCCCACGCCCCTGGGGGAAGGTCAAATTCATTTCTCACCTCCCAGTGCAGGCTCCCACAGGGAGTCACAGGAGTTCACAACATCACAGTCATTCTTGACTGGAGTTTTAGAAAATCCCAAAACAGGGGGAGAGGGGACACTTGGTGATTCTTGATGAACAGTCTCCACTCACTGCTATGGGAAGACCTTTGCTTTCTGTCTTTTTTTCTGTTTTCAGAGTTATAATGATGTTTTGATTTTGAAAATGTCCAAACTTACAGAAAAATTGCAATAGTACTACAATGGAGCATTTAAGAAACCACCACTTTGTTGCAGTTATAGGACTCTCTTTCCTATTCCTGTCACCTGTGTTAGCACTAATTGTCAACCCTGACAGAACCTATACTCACAGGGGACTCTGAGCTTGTCTGTGGGGATTATCCTGATGCTACTAACTGTGGTGGGAAGATGTAGCATTGAAGACATCTCCATTCCCTGACTGGAGTTCTGGACTGTATGAAACATAATGGAGTTGAACACTAGCTCTGTGGCTGCAATGTGAGTAGCTGCCTGCATTGTGACAAGATCCCCCTTCCCCCACACGATGAGGGACTGTGAGCTGAAATGAACTCTTTAAATTACCTCTGTCAGAGTATTTTGTCACAGGCAGCCACAGGAAACAGACTAAGGTACTACCATTGGTGAGTATTTACTTCTGCTCCCTTGGTTCCTTCCGTCCCTCCCTCTCCTCTCCCTCCCTTCCTTTGCATTGCTAGGATGGAACTCATGGCCTTGTGTGCCAGGCAATCACTCTGCTCTCTAGAGTTGCAGAGACTGTGGCATCAGCCCTAAATATTATGACATGTGTCCGCTACAGGCAGGACATATGCTTGCCTGAGCACAAGTCCTATCTCACTCAGGAATCTTAACCTGGGGAAGATGGCTGTGCTACACACACTCTGGATTCCGATTCTCTCAGACCTGCCCTTTATTTGTTTTAAACTTTCTACCACCTAGCATCAAGCACTGCATGTAGTCATTGGGTTTCCTTAGTGCCCTCTGACTATTCCACCCTCAACTTTCTCTTCACCATCCCAACTCCTGAAAAAGCTGTTCTCAGGAAAATGAATTTGAATCTATCAAGGGCTGAAACTTCTGTCCTAAAAAAAATGTAATTTCTAGGCCAAGTCACAAGGGCTGTTTTCCAGGCTCTGCCTGAAAAACTAAAATAAATGAATAAATAAATAATAGATAACAGTTCTGATTAATTCCTTTAACCCTAACACTCAGAAAACAGAAACAGGTATATCTTTGGGAGTTCCAGCCTGGTCTACACAGCAAGACCTTGTTTCAAGAGTGAGGAAGGCTCTCTGCCCATGTGTAACCACAGGACAGTTCCCAAGTAGCCTGGGAATCTGGGACTCCTCTGCTATCTCATTCCTAAAACTGAAGGCATGTCCTGAGCCCAAAGGATACTGAGAGAAGAGCTGAGAAGAAAACTGGCTTCCAGCTTCTCTACACTGGTCCACACCAGGCCTGGAGGCAGAAGTCTCCAGACCCTCCACACCCAGCCTGTCATCACACACCCCAATCATCTCTCTCTGCTCAACTTCCCAGCCCTCCCACAACACACCTCCGTAGGTGGCAGGCAATTTGTTCAACAACCCTGTGGGGGTGAATCGGGCCTTCTAGCCAGCCAGGATGTGCAGAACTTCCTTGCTTCCCTGGAAACTTCCAGAAGTCTCAAAAGATATTTCTGTTGCCCAGCAGCTTTGACACATGGCAAAGCTATGAGAAATGACTTTTGTAAGCTAAGCGACAGGCGCAGTTGTCTTAACCTTCTTTCTGAGTTTTTGCAGGCTTTATTGTTACAGTGCAAAGCGTCCTGGTGTCCACAAGGTGTCAGCACCTTCATTAGAACCAAACCTGTCTGGCTTTCCTTTCTTTTTCTTTTTCTTTTTTTTCCGCTGTAGTTTCCTAGTTGGCCTCACGATGGCACCATCGACCACGGAGTGCTTGTCTCCAGGTGATGGAGCCGTGGCGTCTGCCGAGAAAGAAAGGCCCTCGGGATGCGGGGGGAGGCACCTCTCTGCCCTTTTCATCGCTTATTATTTAACTAACACACAGGGTCCCCTGAGGTCTGATTTGCTTTCGTCTCGCTGACAACGAGACAAGGAAGAGAAGGAACCGGCAATAAGTAAGCAAGAATGTATCAACTCTTAGAGGGCTGAGGCCTCAGCAGGCTTCAGGCTGCCGGCTGCCGCATGACGTGGTTCCTGCCAAGTCCAGGTGTGTGCAATGTTATTTTATAAACCGGAACAAACAGATCTCTCATTGCTCTATATAAGCTGGAGAAGCTCAGGTCCAGAGCGGAGGAATGTCACTACCGACTCTCTGAGCCTCCCGAGGAGCCACCAGCCCCTTCTTTGGGAGAAGGGGTGACTGACTGTATGTGACTGCTAAACCAAAATTCTTTGTAGCAGACTCTGGTTTAAACCTGGGAATACAACAGGCAGAAAGTGGCCTTTGGGGAGTTAGATTTCATAGTCGGAGTCCTTTGGTTTCTGCCCTGTGCTTTGATAAAGGTATTTAAAACACACACACACACACACACACACTTCATAAAAGCAGAGTAAATAGTGTCCTATTTACTGCAGGAAGCCCACAGATTGGGGTGGAGCGCTTCAGTGAGTGGAATTTCCAGCAAAATCGTGAGAAAAAAAATCAACATTGCCTGCCACGAGCTTCAGGGGGGAAAGGCAGTTTCTGTCATAGTCATTACAACTCCCCTCCATAAAAAGCCCACACGAACACAAATACATTAGGGGGTGTTGGAACAATAAGGTCTGAGTGGGAGCCTGAGAGTAGAGGAGAAGGCGTAAACGCCTACCGACAGGTACCCGACCTGCGCCCCGAAGCCTTATTTTGCTGCTTAAAGTGGGAAGGGGAAACACGTCAAAGAAAAATCCAGAACAGCCAAATGTGTGTGTGTGTGTGTGAGTGTGTGTGTGTTTCCCAAGATATTTCAGATTAGGCGGCCCTGTACCTCCCTTCCTTTTAAAGTCTGAAGTTATGTAGTCAAAGATATCACACACAAATATTTTATTTGATTGTTTCGATGATAATTCATGCGATGCCACTAATGTCATCTGCTCCAGCGTCAAAGCTGAAAAAGAGGGCTCTAATGTCTCGCAGACTTTTGCTGAAAATCTAATGAGGGGGCACGAAAAGTTGAAACAAATGTTTTATCTGTCGCCCATCTTCCCTACCCAACCGGACCAACAACTTCCAGAAGGTTCTGGGGACATGGATCCTTTCCGAAGGGATGTTCCAGTGCTTCTGGGGAAGCGGGGCGGGGATCCGATGACGACCGGAGGTGTTAAAGGAATAAATAACCATTCCACAAATAAACAAACCGTCCCTGGGATTCCTAGAGGGAAGGAGAAAGCTGAAGGTCGGAGACCACGGTGTCGCTGAGCATCAAGGCTGGCAAAGATAAAAATCCTTCAGTTTCCAGATCCTCTAAGGAATCCTTGGTCCCAGCTCACCTTATCAAAACTCAGCAAAACAGACTGAAATACAGTTAGTCAATTTACAGGGCCCCAAAGATGCTGACCACTGAATGGGATCCTTCGCGGGCCAGGGAAGCCGGTCGGAGGCCACTCAGTGCGGCACTCTTCGTAAATCTCAGAAGGTGAAGCCCCGGGTGGAAAGCAGGCCTAGGGCTCCCCACGCGGGGACACCTTCGGGCAGCGCGGGAGTAGGCTTGCCAAAACAATTTAATAGCTGGCGAGAAGGGAGAGCAGCCAGATGGTGACATGGGAGGCTAGCCCGCGCTTCTACGCGAGAGAAGAGGGAGAAAACAAGCCGTGGGTTCACGCGCTTGCCTGAGCCCCACAAAATGGGCTGGAGGACGCAGATCGGTCACCCAAGTCACCGCGAAGACTGAGGATCATTGCTCCCATCTTGGCTTTCCCAGAGCTTCCTTCCCAGCCCGACCCCCAGGCGTGGGAGCGAGAGGACCCTAATTCTACCACCGGGCCTCCTTTGTGGGTTCTTCTTCAACACTCGGATCTCGAAGTGCTCTGTGGATTATTCACCATTGCGTTCAGAAGGCCCTGCCGGCTCAATCCGTTTGCTCTGAACCCATAACAACTAGACTCCGATAATTAAGAAATCTAATTATTCGCCTTTTCACTCGTTAATAAGAAAAATCTTTAGGATCATTGCTACTTACAAGGTCTTGGTCGGGTCAGACCTTTGCCCAACTTCATCAATTCGATTTTAAATTCCAAATTAAACCTCTCTTTTTTTTTTGCAAAGAAACATGTTTTTATTTTTTGCTCTGGACACGTGGTTTCGTTAAACAAAATGTGATAATAAAATAAAATTTAATAAGATGTAACTTATTTTTAAAGTCCTCAAGTTAACTTCGGCTACAGGGGGTGAGGTGGGGGGGAAATCTGGCTAAGAGCAGCTGGGTCTTAGAGCCGACGGATTCCAGCGCTTCTCGCCCTGATTGGTTCCATCCTTCTCAAGCTACCCGATGATTGGTTCAAACTTCCTGAAGGAGGCGCGGCCTGAGGAAAGTAAAAACTCGCTTTGAGCCTGAAGACTTTTGAAACTTTTCCCAATCCCTAAAAGGGACTTTGCTTCTTTTTCCGGGCTCGGCTGGGCAGCCTCTCCGTACCCCAGCTCGCTGAGGCTGCGGGCTGTCGTTCTGCTGGCGGGACCCCGAGAGCCGCGGTCTTCTTTCCTAGCGTTCAGAAGAGTCGGTCTCGCTCCACGATCGCGCGTGGCATCTCCGCCGCCAGTTCAGGGTTGCCACCCGCCGGGCCGAGAGCACGCGGCCAGCGGGGCCGCCCCAGGCGCGCCCTCCAGGATGCTGACTCGCCCGGTCGGCTGAACCCAAGCGCTCCCGGTCGGCCCGAGCTCCGGCGCCTTCGGCGCTTGGCTCGCGACGCTGCCCCGAGAAGGGGCTGCCCGCGCCGCCCCGTTTCCTCCTGCTCTCCTGCTCCAGGCCTCGCTCGCCGCAGTCGGTGCGCACAGGCGGCGGCCGGGCGTCTGGGACGCAGCATGCAGGCGCGCTACTCGGTGTCGGACCCCAACGCCTTGGGAGTGGTACCCTACTTGAGCGAGCAAAACTACTACCGGGCAGCGGGCAGCTACGGCGGCATGGCCAGCCCCATGGGCGTCTACTCCGGCCACCCGGAGCAGTACGGCGCCGGCATGGGCCGTTCCTACGCGCCCTACCACCACCAGCCCGCGGCGCCCAAGGACCTGGTGAAGCCGCCTTACAGCTACATCGCGCTCATCACCATGGCGATCCAGAACGCCCCCGAGAAGAAGATCACCCTGAATGGCATCTACCAGTTCATTATGGACCGCTTCCCCTTCTACCGCGAGAACAAGCAGGGCTGGCAGAACAGCATTCGCCACAACCTGTCGCTCAATGAGTGCTTCGTGAAGGTGCCGCGCGACGACAAGAAGCCGGGCAAGGGCAGCTACTGGACGCTCGACCCGGACTCCTACAACATGTTCGAGAATGGCAGCTTTCTACGGCGACGCCGGCGCTTCAAGAAGAAGGACGTGCCCAAGGACAAGGAGGAGCGGGCCCACCTCAAGGAGCCGCCTTCGGCCCCAGCCAAGGGCGCCCCGACGGGGACCCCGGTAGCGGACGCGCCCAAGGAGGCCGAGAAGAAGGTGGTGGTCAAGAGCGAGGCGGCGTCACCCGCGCTGCCGGTCATCACCAAGGTGGAGACATTGAGCCCCGAGGGCGCGCTGCAGGCCAGTCCCCGCAGCGCAGCCTCCACTCCCGCTGGCTCCCCTGACGGCTCGCTGCCTGAGCACCACGCCGCGGCGCCCAACGGGCTGCCAGGTTTCAGCGTGGAGACCATCATGACGCTGCGCACGTCGCCTCCGGGCGGCGATCTGAGCCCGGCGGCCGCGCGCGCCGGCCTGGTAGTGCCGCCGCTGGCTCTGCCTTACGCTCCCGCGCCACCGGCCGCTTATGCACAACCGTGCGCGCAGGGCCTGGAGGCGGCGGGCTCCGCAGGCTACCAGTGCAGCATGCGGGCCATGAGCCTGTACACCGGGGCCGAGCGACCCACGCACGTGTGCGTCCCACCGGCCCTGGACGAGGCTCTGTCGGACCACCCGAGCGGCCCCGGCTCCCCGCTCGGAGCTCTCAACCTCGCGGCTGGCCAAGAGGGCGCGCTGGGGGCCGCGAGCCACCACCATCAGCATCACGGCCACCTCCACCCGCAGGCGCCGCCGCCCGCCCCGCAGCCCCCGCCAGCGCCACAGCCTGCCACCCAGGCCACCTCCTGGTACCTGAACCATAGCGGGGACCTGAGCCACCTCCCCGGTCACACGTTCGCCACCCAACAGCAAACTTTCCCCAATGTCCGGGAGATGTTCAACTCGCACCGGCTGGGACTGGAAAACTCGACCCTCGGGGAGTCCCAGGTGAGCAATGCGAGCTGTCAGCTGCCCTACCGAGCCACACCGTCCCTCTACCGCCATGCGGCCCCCTACTCCTATGACTGCACCAAATACTGAGGCTCGCAGCCCGCCCTTACCCCAGGCCCGCACCGGCTTCGCCTCCCCATGGGACCCTCTTTGACGGAGCCGCAGAAAGCGACGGAACGCACCCCTCTCTCAGACCCGGGAGCAGAGAGCTCCGCGCAACTCGCAGGTAACTTATCCACAACTCGGTTTCTGAGATCCCAGCGAGTCCCTCTAACGGGGACGCAACCCACCGAAACGAAATACCGATTTTTAACAATTTCCTTCCCCTACCCGGATGCTGCGCCTGCTCCCTTTGGGGCTTCACAGATTAGTTTATGGACCAAATCCCGCAGGGACCCCTAATGACTTTCTGTGGAGACTCCCCACGGGTGCAAGAGGTGTCTCTGGATAAGGTGCCTTCTGTAAACGAGTGCGGATTTTGTTGTTGCCCAGAGCCTTTAATATAATATTTAAAGTTGTGTCCACTGGATAAGGCTTCATCTTGCCCAACCGTTTCTGCCAAATTGAATTCAAGAAAGCTATGTGGGTTTTCTCCTCACAGTACCATGATAAAATAGAATTCTTTCCCCAACTGCAGGTCTTTTACAAAACAAGAAAATAATTTATTTTTTTGTTGGTGGTGGATAACGAAGTAAAGTATCTGATACTTTTAATTTAGGAAGTATGATGGCTTTGTACAGTAGACGCCATCGGGAGTATTCCTAAAAGACACAGAAAGACTTAAGATTTTAACTTCACTTGTGTTTGTCTTATGTGGTCTCAATGTTGTATTTACCTTAAAATAAACCCATGCTGTTTTTCTGCCCAAAGTTCGGACAGTGTCTTTGTATTCTTGAATTAAAAAAATAAGTTGTAGTAAAACCCACTTGTGATTATTTTTATGGTGCAGGTGGCCTGCTACGTGCATGTACGTGTCATGGGACAACGGAGCTCTCATTTAGTATTAGAGAGGGCTCTAGATTTGCTGAAGAATCTATCCCACCCTGGGATTTTTCTCTCAAGGCAGCCTGCAGATCTGTCCTCCCCACACACATGGACAGGATTGCCTGAGGGCAACTAGCTGGCCTCTGAACGAAAAGCTTTTTGGGATGCAGAAAACTCTTGCCAATTGTCAAAACAAAATGGTGTCACTCCATCTTAGTGTCCAGCTGTCCCCTGTTTAAGGGAGAAACAGAATGGACAAACGGTCACAGCTTGCCCGGCTCAGCTGAGGCAGAGTCCGGGTGAGTCCCTGCTCCCTCCACTTCCTTGAATGCGGACTTGTGGCCCCTGTTAGCGTTTGAACTGCACCAGTAAGAGCGAAAGAGGGTTGATGTCTTGAGTTTAATGAGTGGCTTTGAGGATCAGATTAGAAGTGACTTTAGGTCTGATTTATTTCTCAATTTGGGCTTCAAATATCTACCCCCTGTGGTGAAAAGGGAAGCCACCGGGCCCCTCATAAACTTGATATTTTAGCGCTAAAATCGATCTGTTGTTCTGCATGCTAAAGAACAAGGAGCTTATTTTTCTTTCTGATTTTCTTTTCTTAATTTTTTTTGGGGGGATAGGGACAAACCTTGGATGCTCCCGGTTGGGGGGGTGTCTTTCTTATTTTTCTGCTGGCTGAAAGGTACAACTTCATTACAGGCCTGTGTGTTGGACCTTACGCTATACGCTAAGCATCATGGATTCCTGTCCCAGTTGGTAACCTGTACTGTGCCTATGGAAGGTCTTCCTGCATAGAACATGCTAGCCAAGGGGGAACTTTACAGAAGGTCATCTGCTTGGCTCAGTGGTGGCCACTGTAACACGTGTATTATGTTACTGCTAAAACTACAAGTTTTCTATTTATGCTATTTTGAAATAGAATTAAGGGAAGTTTGAATCCTGATAATTCTCCCTGTATGTGAAGGCAATCCTTCAACCTGTAGCACCAGAAGGTGGCCCATGCTTCATTACCGTCTATGAAGTGGGGAAGCTGAGGGCTTGATTTGGGGGGCCAGGTATGCCTTAGTTCCTGTGCCAGAGCAGCTTAGGAGGAGCACTGGAGATCTCTGGTGCCTCCTAACACTGGTTTCATTTTGCATCACTCTCTTCAAACCACTTGCCCCAGGAGAAGCGAACTGCTTCCTAGCCAGCTGGCGCTCTCCTTTCCCAGATGTTTTAGGGGCCTCCCTGAAAGCTTGCCCTCATCTTAAGATTTGGAACTCCTGGTGCCTTGTGACTGACCCAGGGAAAGAAAGGAGGTGGTTGGGGGAGCAGTTCTTAAAGAGAACCCTTTTGGAGTAGGTAGCTAGAGAAAAAAACCCGGAGCCGGCCCTATGCAATGTCTTTCCTTTTCTTAGCACACAAGCAACCAGCTTGTGTTCCAGGCTTTTTCCAGGCCTCCTGGAGCAGCAGTGTGGAAAATGGGGCCCTGGGAAGTGTTGGTCTAGGATGTCGCTTCCTCAGGGCAGCCAGAAGAAGAAGGATAGGCTCAGAAGGTTGGTTTCTAATTCTTAGGCTCGTTCACAGCTTTGCTCACCTCAGACTTCGGCAGCTCCAGCCGGCTCCTTAGGAATCGGGGCTTATCACCACTCTTCAGATAAACCGGGATGTGCCCTCCCCCAGTGTTGCCAGCAGCAAGGAGGCAAGGTCAGGCTACACTATTAGGGTCTTAGCAGCCTGTCTGAGAACTGGATAGTCCTTGCATTAGAACTTCTACGGAGACATAGAGTGTCTTTGATCCACTCACTACCCTACACCGTCTTCCTTAGGCCGCTCTGTCCCTGGCAAGTCCAGGACATTCCAGGAAAAGGGGACAACGAGTTCCAAGATGGAAGGCCTGGAGTGCCTACCCCAGGTAGTCCAGCTCTCTGTGTAATTCTGTCTGTCCCCCCAAACGCAGCCTTGTCTGATAACCACGACCCAAGAAGACGATGCAGCTAGGCAGATCACAAAGATGGGGTAGATAAAGACAAAAGAAGCCCTGCAACCCTGGTGGAGAGACGGAGAAGTTCCTGTGGGTTTACCCCGAGTACCAGCTGGCCTTAACCAAATGCACTGATAAACCCTCCAACCAGTTTTGGCAGATTCGGGTCTGCAGAGAGCCCTCCATGCCTCTCACTCCCAACCCAGACACCGGCTGGGAGCATCGTGCTTCTTAGGCTGGAGTTATGCCCCCACAGCGGCAGTTTTCAGGAAGTGCCTTCTAGCCTGGTCCCTGCTCAGACTTCTCCCCAAACCAGTTTGATTCTGCAGCTATAGCCCTCACTGCCTGGCTCAGGTGGCCTGTCACAGCAGATGAAAACAGTGACAGTGACTTTGGTCCAGAATGTGTACAACTGGGAATTCGACTCCTACATCTCAAGGCATGAACCATTGTCGTCTGGGCATCACCAGGGATCCCAAGATAGACCAGTTTACCACTCTTACCTCTTTCTTACTGAACTAAATGAAGATCGAAAGTTAGAAGGAGAAGATGAAGGCTCCAGGGAATGCTGGTACTTGCCTCATACCCTTCAGGGTCCTCTCCCCTATACTCTCCGGTCTGGGCTCTGGGAAAGGCTGGCAGATTTCACCCTGTAGGAAAACGTTTTTCAGCACTCTGGTAAACGAGGTCTGTTGACTAACGTGTTCTTCATCGGTCGTCTCCACTCCCAAATCCAAAGGCAGGGGCAGGAGTCTCTGATTTTGTTGTAAATCAGAACAGGTAAGTATGAATAAAGACATGGGGAAGTTGCCTCAAGACTCACACAGTCTCCAGAGCTCCCCCAAAACTACCTCATCACTGAACATTCCTGTCCAACAGCTGTGACCTGAAGATGGGTCAGTGGGTGGCTCAGGTAGGGATGGTGTCTAAAGTCTGGTGTCTGTTTCAGGTAGAGCACGGGCTGGGACAGAGCCACAGAGTGGCACCGACTGCCCCCCCCCAGTTACCCAGCTCAGAATATTTGGAATGCTTTCCCAACTTTGTGAAGCATTCCCTGCCCGCCTTTCTTGCTTGCCTTCCACTGCCAAGGCGTTTGAAATGTTTGCTTTTTGACACAGGCATGTAAGGAAGGGGGTAGCATGCCTCCCGGGTAGCATTTAGGAGGTGGGCAGCCACTAGCCTAATTGGTGACTAGGCCTGGGAAGGCCATGCACCTTTAATTTTATCAGCCTTCTTTCTTTTCAACATCCCTGCAGATAAGCATCTGCCATAGGTATTGTTTGATTGATGGTGCCTGTCCCTTTGGGTACTGTTGACTTCCTAAGTGTCCAAATGTGGCCCTGAGCACTTGCAGAGCTGAGGTGGAGGGAGTGGCAGTGACAAAGGTGCAGACTTCCTAGGTGATGAAGAGAGCTGGGTAGTAGGAGGCTTCAGTCTGCCCCATTCTGCCATGGAGTTCTGCCACTGGATTCTGTTCAACCATGCCTATTCTGCCTTGTGTTTTTGGGTCCGGTCTCCAGTCCCCAGCCACTGGGGTGAGAAGCCTGGATGACTGTTAAATAGCTATGGCCTTCCAGTCCGGACTCCACTATTCCCCAGGACCCTGCCTCCTAGGGACTCTGTCTGCAGTTGAAGCCCCAGCACCATTCCAGGCCCTATAAACAGTTTTAACATCATCCCATTCCCTTAAGCTTTGAGGCCAGTGTCTTAAGTGATACTTCTTTGGTTTGTGAAATAGAGTTTTAATGGTGGCTGCAGTTCCAGCTCTAGTATCACTCTAACATTAGTGAGAGCTCTCTCAGGAGGGATTCTGTTGTCTATCTTGCCTATTTGGGTGGCTTTGAGTGGGGTAGTGGATGTGCCCTCGGGGCCTCCTTGGGAGCCTTCCCGTCCTTTCTGGGAACAAGGTGCTCTATAAATAAGTATGTCATTTGGGAAACCCTGCTCTGCTCTCTGGGCCCCACTTAGCATCAGCTGACCAGGCCCTTTTCTTCAGGCCCTACCCCCATCTACACCCCCTAGGGGAAGTGGGGGGGGCAGACTCAACTAGGCTCTTTTCACAGGGGGAGGGGAGGAGAAAGAAAGCCTTCTGGGTTTGTGCGTTAGGATTCAGGGGTACCCTGAGGCTCCTAGCACCAGGGCTGCACACTTCTGCCACCCTTCCTCTCTTTCCTGAGCATTCAGGTCCCACTGAGTCCACCTTTGAGGACAACCTGTGGCTTCTGATTCCCGTTCTGCGTTCTGCCAGTTGCCCAAGTGGCAGTAACTGGGGAGTCCTCTGTGACTTAGCCTCAGTTTCATACTCTATAGAGTGGGTGGATCCTTCAGGCTGCTGCAAGGGCTTGAGAAGGAAGTCTTTGCACAGGGGTCCTGAGTGCCACATACAGGGTGGCTGTTGCAATATGGTTGTGTCCCTATCTTTGGACAGGTCTCCATGGGAGAACAGAGACAAGTGAACTTACTGGGCTTCAGTTTCTTGGTCTGAAAATGGAAATAACAAATGTTTTTTTTTCTTTATTTTGTGTGTGTGTGTGTGTGTGTGTGTGTACTACTGGGAACTAAATCCTGGATTTCACACATGCTAGGCAAGTGTCACATCACCATCCTTACAAATCACTTTACTTAAGAATATTTTATTATTATTTAATTATTCTGCCCCAGAAGCTGGAGTTAAAAAGTGGTTGTTAGCTACTCTATGTGGGTGCTGAGAACCAAACTTGGGTCCTCCTTCAGAAGAATAGTAAGTGCTCTTAACTACTAAACCATCTCTCCAGCCCCTCCTTTTCAGACAGGTTCTCATGTAGCTCAGGCTGACCTCAAACTCAACATGTAGCTGAGGATGTCTTTGAACTTCTGATCCTTCTGCTTCTACTCCTTAGGTGCTGGAATTACTGGCATAGGCCACAGAGCCTGATTTAT